TGCTGACAGGAACATAAACAGGAACAAAGTGGTCAAGATGTCCCAGTGGAAATTGTACTTTGTGTTTGTAGTTTACTTGACTATACACAGCTACAATATCAATTGTATACGATTAGTGAAACCTTGGATAAAATAAAAGTGAAATAAGAAATCTGTCTCGTTACATTCTTTCTGTAGACATCTTTTTTAAGAAGGCTGCGTTATTGAAATGAATTATAACAATGCATTTTAATTAAATAGTCCGTCTAGTAGTGGCTCGGTTCAGAATATACACACGTACTTCACTTTTTTTTTAAAAAAAATATCACAGATATGCATTTTTATGAGATTTTCTCAATTATGGGGCTTGTGCAACTCCCAATTAAGATTTGGACAATTCTTTCGATCACTTTAGATTTTTCTCCGTCGCCTCATAGGTTTTTAATAAGATGGACGAAACAGTTTGTGATGCCACTTAATCATACACGAGTCGCATATCTTAGTGCAGCATCACTAGTCAAGGGAGGTAACTCTTTTGTGCTTGTTGATAAAGAAAGTGTGCAGCAGTCACAAGCACTCATTCAACCTTGTTTCTTAACTGCATAATCCTGTAATGTTAGTAAAGTTAGTATCATACCTTTACCATTGTATCTCTGTAGTTACCACAGTCTAAGCTACTTCTACCACTACATTTCTTAGTTACCATTACATTTCATTGGTAACCATTACACTTCCTCAGTAACGATCTCAAAATAGCTACTACTACAACATCACTGTTAAACCTATATGAAAACTTCGATAGTTTACGTCATTATGTTGGACATTTTTTTTTTATCTTTAATCGTGCTAACATGTACACGTTTAGTCAACAACGTGAATTAATGATACGTATGGTGAACGCAGTGAAGTACATTAATTGCCAATTATCTGTGTATATAAAGACATGTCTAAATAACAATAGCCATTGACAGGTTTATAAAGAAAAATTAGGCAGGTATTGGGGAGATATGATCAGGAATGTCAGTGGAAGCATTACTGTATTCTGATATCTATGATTGTGGGAGGTTAACCAACACAATATTGGCCAAGGCTACACAAATATTAATCACTGCGACCTCGATTACGTTAAAATATATACCGTATTTCATACAATTCATGTATATCACAAGAGTGATGCTTTACTCCGTGAGTGTATTCATGAAATAGTTTGTATATAAACCTATAGATATTGTAACATAAAAAACAAAACAACGCCACACACTCACAGATTACATTTTATTTATAACTGTTAAGTTTAAAATGGATAATATTTGCATGATAATTGATCATGTGATAAAAATGGTCATTCTATATGCAATGTTTGAAACTCTCTAGAGGCTCGTTCGAATGAAAATACTTGTTTCATAAACCTCTTATAAAATGACAACTCATTTAAGAGGATTCAACAAATTCACAACCTAGTACGTCAACGAGAAGAATAATCGTTTGAAGCTGGCAGAATTAAAAGTGACTTTCTTTAACTTGAAGACCTGTTACTGATCTGTAACTGCCATTTTATTAATTGCCTTTACCTACCTTCGATAAACATCATATTCTTCTTCTTGTTCTTTCCTGCGTCACTTGACTTGACCCTTTTCGTAGATTCTTAGATTGAATTGGGATTTTGTTGGTGTGTTTTTACTCTCTACTTTTTCATTCATCGTTAATTCTATTACTTATTTACTAAATACCTAAGTCACCTACATGTTAATTTCCTCATTGACAAGTGCCGTTCTTAGATGATGACTCAGATTATCATTTTGCCTGTCAGGAAAGCAACAAGACTACTAAGTGAATGCCGAATATTCTCTGATGCAAACAAGTCCAACTTTGCCAAACATCTTAATTACAATTGTCTATTAGGAAGTGTGTGTGCTTAATTTTTCTAGTTTGTTATATGCAATTCCCCACTACCCTCAGTCGTACCCACTTTTATGTATGTAAACAGACGTAGTAGTCACAGACAAACTGTACAAAAAGGGGCGAAAACTCTTTATTAGATTAAGCCTCATACTCGATTTTCATATACAACACTTCACACAAGATGGCACAAGTTGACGAAGTCGTTATTACTTCTATCAGCGCTAGTAATGGAGAAGAGAGCACAACGTAGATACTAACAAAACAACACACTAAGATAAGGACAACAGTTCCAGGGGATATATATTGTGTAAATGTAACAAAAGACACAATGCTATCAATAGAAAGCGAGAAATGACGTCACACCACCATTCTACTCTCACATTTAGCATATTAACAAGTTGTTACATTTTAAGCTGGATGAAATAAATTCTCGAAAATATATCTTATTTCATTGTTATGAAATAACAGTCCGTTTCTTTCTCATAAAATACGCCTGATTTTAAGATAAAGCTGTCCATGATACATCAGAATATAACATGCTATTCAGATTTGCTTTTATGTATATGATATGCATCAATTAACCTATGTTAATGGGTGTATGGTATCAGTGTTAGATTGTTAGGCAGTAATATGTACAGTGTGATTTAACTGTTTTATAAGTTTAAATGTTTAGGCTAATGTCCTCAATATTTACATATTACCAACCGAAAAGGCTAATAGATATCCGCCCTGCTTAACTAGGTAAGATAATAGAATATAGCTCAAAGTACACTGAATAAATGAAAATCACGTTAATCAATAAGGCGGTAGCTCTTTCTTTATATTAGTATTTATCGAAAAAAAAATCGTTCCTGAAATAGGATTACTTAACCAAGGACTTTATATATATATATACATTATGCTTCGTCGTTTGAAATATCTAATCTGATGTTACAAAATTTCATATATATGTTTTTGGAAGATTATGTTTTTCATGTTTGACTTAATTCTAAATATTATTTTCAATAAGAATCATACAAAACACTCCAATTTCATCATATTATATCATGTATGTTATCATATCATAACCATAATTATCTATCACTATTATAAACAATCCGTCACATGCCTTAGCCTTATTTCAATTACTGTTGGCATGCTGTTGTAGATATATTGCATGTTTACGATATTTTGCACGCTTATCCTAAGAATCAAAGTAGGTTATCGGGATTAACGTTTACTTATCCACACTGAATCGATATTTCGCCAAGAAATTTTTACGGTAATTTCGGTCATGCATTGGCCTACATTTATCTGAGGTTACCGCAGGGTAATTAAAGTGTAATCTTCATTAAATGATTAAATCATTAAATTTAAAAATAGCACTCTGTTGGTGTATTTGTATCAGTTAGATACACAACTAACATATGAAATTACAATATCCCCATCCCCTTCTCTTAGTTGAATAATCACTAACACTGAACAAAGGGCATGAATATCATTGATTTTTAGAAGATAGGTCAAGGTTTCAACAACACAAAAACCGACTTCACACCAAACAATGACGGAAAAGTACGTGTCAGTGCAGTTTTGTGTTTGTGGCTATAGTTGTTAGGGCCAGCAATCTGATACCATACTAAAATAACGAAACAAAACAGATCTTGGTCAATAGTAAACAATTCTGGCAAGATGGCAAGGACTTTTAAATACCTTACAGCACAACTAATGACCATGGTAAAATCCAGAGGATTGTTCTACATGGTACGAACGCCATGCATACATATGAATATATGTTTAGCAATAAACTTCAATTGTTTCGGTCATAATCACATCTTTAACCCTAATTATCCTAATTACGGCAACAACTATAACACTTTGTATGTTAAAGGATATTTTGATAGTCATCTCTGCTTTATTTATTTAAACGGTAATGTATCTTTTCGATATGTGCTTATCTACACCTCGAGGTAGTGATATCAGATATACATATGTTACTGTATACCTATTTATACTTCAACTATCAATATAATTATAGTGTCGTTATACTTAGAAAAAGATATCGACTTCAGTGACAGCAGTACTAGACAGCATATTCGATATTCTTTACTCGGATGTCGACAATAGTCAACATATCTGCAGACAACGACTCCAGCTTGTAAAATACATTAATTCTCCTATCTGTGGCCTCTTGAGTGTGACCCTATGTCGGCAATTGGCTACAATAACGAGATAAAAGTGGTTTAAAGCTTTTCAATAAACACAGATCGATATATATCATTTATCAATCTAAAGAAACATGGTTATATATGTAAAGTCCCTACTCTCACCTCTAACCCCAACTCCCACCCCCACTCGCTAACACACAAACACACACATGGACGCCGAAAGGGAAAACAACTAAACTTTGGATTAGGGAACATGTTGTCAGCTTACATACACCTAGGAAAAGACAGAATAAAACAAATCCTTGTTTGCGTGTAGAAATCGTTTTTCAAAGTGATGAAATCATTTCATAATTTAAATTAACTTTTTCTTTTGTTTTTGTTAAGATTCTTTTATTTACAGGAAAACTTCCAAAAGTTACCTTACACAACTTAGCGACGAAGATATTCGCATTGTGAGACAGCGTGTTAAGCCTTTTCGTGTATCAAATTTTGAAAGAAATATTGTTAGTTAAATGCACTCAAGGGTAAGATAAGTGTGTTTATATTCTTTCATGAACTAAAACTATGTAGTACACAACAATTACACAGAAAGACACAAACGATATATTATCCTGTCAATTAGCGATGTATATCATATTGTTAACAACTTGAGTACGCCATGTTTCAAATATTCATAATACCACACGGAATGCTTTGTATTTATTTCTGGGTAACCAGTGATTAACCAAAATATATGTAAATAGTAAGAGGTGTATGGTGTATCCTATATATACTTCACGGTATATTGTTTACCTACTGACGTTGTTAACGTGGAAACAAGGTCAAGTTGTGGGTCGAAATAGAACAAATTTTATCAATGGATAACAAATTGATACTTCTGCCACCCTGCATCGGGCCCCTGTGACTAACAGTGACGTAGGGCAAGGTCGGGCGGCGCGAAGCCTGTGTATAAATGACAATGCACAGTTTATCTGAGGCTTAAAACATTACAACCGGGAGAGGGGAAAAGGACTAGCAAACAGTTCTGTGTGATGTCCGTGTAATAGCATACTGGACAGGAACGAGACACGATGGAAAGTACTCTGTTCGACATCGGCCGAACATGGATATTTATCAATGAGAGTCTGGTAGATGGACTGCCACTTTGGAACACGAGCGGCAAGAGTAATAGTCGGATATTGCAGCCAGTATGGGATTTACGGTTAGGCAGGGAAGAATTCTTTCGCTCTCCCCTCTTCCCGGTTGTTCTCTCCGTCGCTTTCTACTTCAGTTTTTGCACACCATTTATGATTTTCGACTTAATCGGGAAAAAATGGACATGGATGCAAAGCTTTAAATTACAGACAAATAAAGAGGTTACTATGTCGCAAATCTTCGATACCTTGGGTCTTACATTTTGGAACCATGTCCTATACATCCTCCCTGCCGCCGTATCCCAATGGGTATGGACACCAGATACATATCTTCCTGAATTGGCTCCTAGCATGTTCGACTTCGTTTGGCACCAAGTAGCCAGCTTGTTAGTTTTCGACTTTCAATACTTCGTTTGGCACTGGAGTCATCACCGTTTCCGGTTCCTTTACAAACATATCCATGCTGTCCATCACCGTTACCACAGCCCATTCTGCTGGGTCACCCAGTACCTGCACCCTTGGGAGCTGATAACAGTAGGATTTCTCACCACTACCAACACTTGGTTCTTCAATTGTCATCCTTTGACCATTTGGTCTTATATGATTGTTAGCATTATCGTCAGTGTCGAAGCTCACATCGGCTTTGATTTCCCTTTCTGTCTTCACAACTGGTTTCCCTTTGGGGTCATCGGTGGTGCACCCAAACACGACATGCATCACCTAAAACCTATGACCAACTTTCAACCGTTCTTCAACCATTGGGATAAAGTGTTTTCTACTTTCTGTCCAGCCATGAAAGCAGGAGGAGTCAAGCCAAAAGAGCTTTTGGACTACGAACACAAGTACAGGGAAACCAAGAAAACTATTTAAAACGCCTAAACCAAAGGTATATATTTGTATTGTAGTATTGAGAATTACTTGCACATACTTCCATCGGTCTTTTTACAAAACATTTATACGCTCCGCTTGTCATGTACTATCATATAAATGCATGCTTCGTTCAGATGTCGTGATGACATATGTTTCCGGCACCTGTTACTGTTTTTATAGTTTATTCCATCTTGAGATCATTTATTATTTAACTATTGAATAGAAGCCGGGCTGCTTCATAAAATATCCGTTACGTTTACTATAATCGTTAATCCTTTATAATTTGAATAACATTAAACTCTTACAGTTTTATCGCAGAGACTGTAATTTTTTTTATCCTGCTGGAGGTTGTTAAATATAGATACATAAACGTCTTTTTATTCAAAACTCTTATCTTTGCATTTCAAACGATGGTGTTTGGCCGTGTAACACGTTCGCGGATGTAGGCGTGTGTCTCGCTGTATTATCGATCTGCCAACTCGTACGATCTCAGCGACAAGGTGCATGTAGGGGCACTCAACAAACGCTCAATACCAATCGATCGGTGTTTTTGTTTTTTTAATCTTTGTAGCATATTGACAACCCCATTTTTGAATTGGCATAAATTAGATATAAACTAACTCCATCATCGCGAATTCTCCAATTGATACTCATGACACAATGTTTTTTACACACACACACACACACACACATACACACACATTCACACCTGTCTGCCAGCATCCCAGTTACATTGCTTGTTGTGACACAATACTGCTAATGCTGTTATTGAGGCTAATTTCAGAACGATGAAAGAGTCAGATAAATATATATAACATATAAAACATCATTGGAAATCATATGATAAATATTACGACACAAATAAAACATTCGTGTACTATAACCAGTCATTCTATATAGGCAACACCGCTCTTTAATCTGTCGCATCTATTACTATATTATCTCATAAACTTAAACTTCAAATGTTTAAGACTCTGAAGCGAACTGCGGAATTTTACAGAGTAAAGAAATGTTGCAAAACTGCTATCCATCTGTAAATATATTTAAATTTATTGACTTTGACTTTTCTTTTAGTCACTTTGAATTTTCCTCAGACACCTACTGTGCTTCAACATTTAGGCCATTAGCATCGCTAAAGAGTCCCCGAAGGACAAGCCAGATAACGCAGTTTAATTAATTGTCAGCTCTATTGTGTCAAACCCTAAATATGTATATTTGTGTGCTTTACTACAATATTGCATAGCCAGTGTGATAAATCCTTTAGGCATGTGTATATTTAAAGGTACAGTCTGTTGATCATTGTTATTCATGTCTTATGTTAACATGATGCAAGGTGTAACTCTTTCCTTATAATTTGGTGATAATTTCTTTGTTGCGATTTTATACGATGTATAAATTATGTAGATAGAAATAAACCTAACAACACTATTTTCAGTTGGGTTTATGGCGAGGTTTCAGGTTACTTTGAGCATTTAAAAAACATTTGTACAATGTAACTAAGCAGGAGATACGAGAGTACATTGGTTTTCTTTCTTTCTTTCAGATGTATTTATTAATGCGTCTGGCTGAGTTATCTTTCTAATGTGTGATGTTTTTATCAGTATCATGGACACCGGGGACAGACCTCCTATAAGAAGAAATCAAAATATTCAAGGAAAGCAGAAGAGAGTAAGGTTTGGATTTAATGAGCAGAAAGACATTGCTGTGACTGTTGTACAATAGGCGAAGACACTTGAAATCCTCAAACGGAAGGAATGTGGGTATAATTCTTACAAAAATGTAAGTCAGGTGTTATCCCGTGATGAGAACAAAGTGCACAAGACCCATCTTGTAGGATGAAGAGGATACAAAAACGAATACATTTCGTGTCGTTATGGCCCAAGACCCCTGGCAATGGCTGCCCGAGTCTTCATATCACCTTGTCATTCCATACATCATTTTTCGTAATTTAGAATTTAATTTATCGATGTGTAGATTTTTGTTCGATGTTAAGCATCAAATAGTTGTGAAGTCAGTATTACGGTTCAAAACTTTTCATGGTATCATTTATTTGTTTTGATGTTGTTTCATATCTTCATCATTTTTCTTCATCAGTTGTTAATTGTTTTTACCAGTACCAGAAAATCTAGTTTCTGATTTGGCGATACTGTTGTTGTGATAGTTTATATTTATTTTCCGCAACCAATATCTGTGATTTTTACAAAGTGCTGATGTTCATTTTTCCCTCGCTAATAATGATATTTTATTTTCTTAGCATTAATTTTTATTTAATCTGATTGTCTGCGATTCTAGAGCCTTCCGTGTCCTCGACTTTTTATAACTAACTGGCGGTCGGGAGGCAATAACAGTTTAACCACCCTTCAAAACAAGACTACTGTTGTTGTTTTTCTTTTTCTTTTAAGATTCAAACTGTTATATTCATTTCAAAACTTGTTTTATTTTTAATTACTTCGACAGGCTTTGAAAAATGTAGGCATACATTAGTATCAGCTATTTCATTTTGTCCTCGTTCATTTTATGTTCATTTTAAACACCAAGGGGTTTTCAGATTAGTTTTATTTAAGAAGAATTCTGCTTCCCTTCTTTAACATATTATTTCAAATGAATATTTCATTCAAGCTTTCAATGACAGATGAACTATTTACGTCATGTTTTGTTCACGTGAATGCCATATGTATAGTGAATTCTAACCTTATACCATGCTTACGTGTACATGGGTATTGGTTTTACATGTTTAACAGGTGATATCGAGAAACTGTCATGTTTAATTTTGTGCTTATGTTACTTTGTGTTATTAAAAACATTTGAAGATTCGATAATAGAGCCACATTGCCATAATGTTTTTAAAGGATTTTTCCGTCACTCTCAGGTATTTGTAAAAATCAAAATGTGTAAAATAGTAGCCTATTCGTGATCTCATTTGTGTAAAATATTCTTTCTGGTTCCTGAATGGACTGATCCCCTTATTCAAAAAGATTCTGGAATGAGCAAGGCCATTCATTGGGAAATAAATGATACTGCATTTCATTTGATCAAGACGAAATTATATCCAATATCGGATTTTATAACAATACTTTGATTTTCAAAAATGATATTTCGATTTGAAGACCCTTGCAACCAGTAACTACCTAATGTAAAATTGTACAATGCAATTAGGATAATTTTTTTTAATATATCTGATATATATATATATATATATACACGAATATTTCTAGAAAATTTCTCTGAATACAATAACGTACATCCGTTATGTAGATACGTATACATCAACGGATATGTGATAATGCATCGGGAAGCTTTTAAATCCACATCTGTCGTTTGTTAATTATTTGATGTGTGCCTTTATCATTTACTGTTTAGCAAGGGAATGTTGTCAAATAAGTTCCTGGTAGCTCCTGTACGACATAAGCGTGCAAAGCTTGGTGAGGATTTGTGTAGTTATTTCCAATGACTCAGCCGTTTAGTAGATAACTTTTCAGTTTTTTGTAATATGTTCACGGCGGGTATTATGGTTGTAGTTTGGTGTTGTCCATACGTTGACGTAATTTATTAGTTTTACAATTCTCCCCCTGTCACATATTTTATTTTTTTTTCAAGATTCAACTTTAAAAAAAGAATGCATTGGAAGTAAAAAAATGTATATTATCAGCTCAAACTGACCTAACAATATAAGGATGGTTGCCGCCATACTCTTGCCTCAGACAAATTATATAGCAGGGATTTTCAAGAGCTTGTTCAATTGTACAACTTTTAAGCATATCTATATAAAGTTTCAATGATATTTGGGCTGTCATGTAATCCGGTGCCTCTGTATATTTTAAAGAGTCATCAGGCAATGACACAGCATATTGATACTGATTTATTAACTACAGCGTTTAAGTAATGATATCAAAAGATAATTAAATAATAGAGAGCGTTTTGAAATCGAATCTACTTCTTTCGATTTACGTTTTTGTTGTCACCTAAAATTAACGATATAATTTACCCTCAGGAAAATCCCTATGAACCAAAATCGCCGTTTCATAAATCTCGAGCCAGTTGCAATGGCCATCTGTAGAAACAGATAATTGTTTGATGTTATGTCTATCATATCATTGCTCACTAGATATTTTTCTACTTTGATCCAGCATCGATGCCACGTGCAAGGATAAAAAATGTTATATAAATCATATATTATCATGTGTTATATAAATGCGTTACATATCATATCTTTTTGAGTAGCGTGCGATCAAATTAGATAATTGCCATCTGCCAGTGTTTGCCGTACCAGTCCAGAAAAGAAAGAGTGTGACAGATGAGAAGGAATGAGACGTTTTTAATTTTGAAATTCCGAAATTTTAGATATTGATATAAAACATCCACATGTACACGTGCACTGCTGTATAATCTGGTGCGGGAAACCCATTCCGTGCAGGTGACGTCACCTAGTAATGACGCGTCAGCTGACGCCGATATGATGGTGCGTCTATTACACAGTTGCCACGTGGTATTAAGACCGTCAAATACCACAAACACTCTTTCACAATGACGTCCCAATGTTGGGCACTGATGTGAAATAGTGGTCATGACGTGTCGTTATTGTTTGTTAATGGAATAACACATACTTTATATCATGCAATAGCTCCCGTTGTTTTTGTGATTTTTGGTGAAATCGTTTATGAATACACCAATCGAATATATGTCTTCCCCTTTCACAATGACGTCCCAATGTTGGGCACTGATGTGAAATAGAGGTCATAACGTGTCGTTATTGTTTGTTAATGGAATAACGCATATTTTATATCATGCAATAGTTCCTGTTGTTTTTGGGATTTTTGTTAAAATCGTTTATGAATACGCCAATCAAATATATGTCTTCCCCTTTCACAATGACGCACCCTTGTTCCAAAACCAAGGGCGCCGACGTGAAGGGAGGATATAATATATTACTGGATTGGTAAGTATCAGTAATAGACGTTTGTAATTGATATGTTTTGTTTATTAGTATCCTTATATATCTAGTTGAATAACAGTGGACACGTAAAATGTTTCCTGATTACCCCTACTAAGACCAGATTTTTACCACATTTAACTTCTATCCATCTCGCATCTACCTGTGAAAAAAACTTCAGGTTAGTCAAAATGTGCATAACCCAATAAGTCGAAGAAACGATTCATAGGTTAATATTATGAAGTGATCAGTTATTGACAGCAACAAGATATATTCGCTCTAGTGTTAACATAAGATTTGTCGCTTGGCAATGGGTATTATGAAGAAAAAAAATCTATATTCGAGCAATTCCATAGGAAAAATTCGATATGCTTGTCTTCCGTTTACTCCGGCTATCACTGATAACACACGTACTATGGCCTCGGTATGTAAACTTAATGTGTGAAAGAGCCTTGAGTTACAGCACTGCCAGCTGATAACCAAGCTCTTAAAACAGGCAAAACACGCACGTTCAACTGCTTGTTCTGTGGTTTGGATAGTCTGCATATCCCTTCAAATCGTAGATATCAATAAGACTAAACAAATGTATTATGCATGATACAGAGATAAGATACTTGCTTTCACTAGCATGTTTCACATTGGACTTAATTTCCTCAGGTTATCTGCACATGCGTAATTTGTAATGCACTGTACTTTGGTGTATGTTCAATTATGTATGTATATTATAGTGTCATAAAGGAAATTTAGGCATATAATATCTTCTCACGATAAAACGTGTAAGAAATTCAAAATCTCCCGGAATCGTCTATTGCAATTCAATTTGCTATAAATCTGTTCCCTTTGTCACTGCAGACCTTCCGTTTTGTGTCCAAACATAACTTTTTCTATTTGGGAAATGAGTTCATTAATATATCAATGACGAATCAAGATATTGTTCAGTAAAATCTGCCATTAGTAGACTCATATTGAGTCTATTTCATGATTTCTGTCGTCTTTGCTGAGCTGATCAAATGACTTCTAACAAGAATGATGGTCTAATGGATGATCTCAGTTAATAAATATATATATATATAGATATTGATGTTGTTCTATTTTATTTACATGTTTCTTTCAATATACTAGGAAATAGAAAACAAAACAACCGTCTGGAATAACACCACTTTGCAACATCTACAGTAGAACATTTGTTATGGTACCAACGAGCTACCTCAGATTAAAACTTAAATACATTGTTATTTCATAGTTTCTAATATAGTATCCTATACATGTATTTCTTCTTGTTTGCTCTTCACAAAAACGATAGATATAAAGGAAACATTTCATCGTGTTATTTGCTTACAATATATCTTCATCATAACTTGAAGCTTTCATGATGAAATGTCTATTAATCAAGTGATGAAATTCAACACCATTTATATTTGTCAAGTCTTACAGTCAAATCAACTTTACATATATCCTTCCGTTCGTATTTTGTCAATGGTTCAGTGATATGTGTTATTCTGTTGATATACCGGTATTTTCATCATGCCTTATTCCTCAGCGATGCTAATAATGGAAGTTGTTATATCCTAACTAGAATAATGTTGAAATACAATATAGTCAGCACGTATTGTGAATATTGGATACTGGACAATAAAAGATAACATGAAGTCAGTAGGTCATCAGTCAGCCATGATAGAACTATAAAGAATAATAATTTTATGAACCCAGCTAACCATCAAGCAGGCATAACATTTTTCTTAAATAAATCAAGCATAAATTCCTCAGTAGATTCAAAGAAGAGACTAGAATTTATTATCCGACGCCTCAGCTGTAGTGAAAAACTTGTGTATGTATAGAACAAAATGCAAATGTTATGCTCTGATTATGTTTAAATCAAATTTGTTAATTGGTTTAGATGTATTTGAATTTACATTAGTATTAAATACCTTATGTGACGATTGTAAATAAATTTCAAGTTATAGTCCTAATCCGTTCTGTTCCTGGCAGCTGCAATGTCAATTAGGCACAACGTGGGACCAAAGGCAATTAACGTAGGACATTTTAGAAACGTCCATCTTAAAGCGCCATCATCCAAGATGGCCGCCATTCGACCATTTATTTTTCGATCAGTCACAAAATTATAAATACATAACTAGAGATCAAAGGAAATGTCATTTGAGATAACAGTAAGAAACATGAACTGTCAACAATCAGGATGAGTCTGTCAGCTATTTTTTTTGTTTTCATCAATCCCTAAGTCGAGTTTGTAAAACAAGGAGCAAAAAAAAAGAAAAAGAAATTTGAGAAAAATATTTCCAGCATTTCTCAAGAAAGAGCTCTAACAAATGTCTAAGATAGCCGGCCGTCTGTCCATTTGTCTTTTTTTCCGATAAGCCTCAAAAGTTAGCATACCTACATGTAATTATGGACCTAAATAATTCATGAAGTTTTGGAAAGATTAATTTGGTTTTTGACGAGAAATAGTGATAACAATTGTTTAATAGACCAACGGATGAACAACAGACATAGCAAGGACAACGGAGCACAAAGGGGTTTTCGAAATTCGATTATTATACATCAATATCGTCACCGATAAATATCTCTTATAATTAATATCTAGACCTGGTGAAGTATTGTCATTAAGCAACGGAATACAAGCCTGTTTATCATTAGTCTTTTATTAAAGTCTTCACACAGCTCCGATATTGATTGGTCATAAAAAATATATCCCATGCTAACCATGCATACGTTAAAGTAGGGCTAAGGTGAAATAACAGAAATGTCCATTCAGTCAGGCGATGTCTACGTCCACTCACCTTGACCATATACATGGATGTTTGTGTCAACTTGCCTGATCTTGTGTGAGGCCATACAGCTCGGCCATGTGTAGTAAACACCTCTTGTGTAACTGTGTCAATACTTTTAAATCGCTGATAATACTGACCTAACCTGCATAAATGATGAGAATGGTAACCAAGCATAGAGATCAAACTAACTGATTTCAGATAATAATCAAAGGGTAGGTTGTGAGTGCATTTCTCTATAACATAAAACACGGGGCTTCTTGATATTCTCATAAACCTATGATCGGATTTCATGATTATACAAATAATAATCCCCTTTGTATGTTGTCACTGCCACATTATTAAATACGGTAAATTCAGTTATTTTCGTGGGAGATGTATTTTCGTTTAAATTTGAGGTTCTCTAATCCACATGAAAGTTGACATGGATTAAAGTATTAATGAATTTTTTGATCAAGTTTTATCACCGAAATAAAGTGTCAACGGATATTAAGTTTATGGGAAACTTTGAATTCGACCCACATTAAAGGATTTTATTTTACAGTAGTGAAATAAGGCATCCCTTTTTTGAGTATGTACAAATGAATTATCACAAACACATAATATTTTACTAGGTTTTATAATTAAGTTCTGCATCGACAACTGGATATTTATAGGACAATAACATAATCATTCCATGTCTTGATTATCTCTCAGGACAAAAATGGAACATTGAAAAAAAATCAGATCTAATAGAGCCTAATGGGGAGTTAAACGACATCACAATCAGGACTCGTCAGTGATATATAGGGATCACATTCAGCAGAAAATCAGAATAGATCGAAACAATTGTCAAAAGCTAAATGAAAGGTGCATTAACGAAATAATTCAATAATATTTTACTTCTTGTATAAGTAATCATTTCAAAAGCACTTCAAGTTCATGTGTGCAATGTATATCTGAACTGCGCCACTATTGGATGAATTAAAATGTGGTATAGAGGTTACGGCAAACCTCTGAGATTTAAATTTCACCAGCAGTGACTGCCGAGGAAAAATCAATTAGCTATTTTTCATAATTACTGTGGAAAGATATACAAATGTAGCAGAACCATTGTCATAAAATTTCGTTCCGCTGATGGCAACTTTGAGTGACCCTAACTACTCTATTTATAGATGGTACCTACAGGATTTCAAATATAGTCCTCATCTATTTGGTCCCATATACATACATGTTGGTGAAATATACTGTGAGCTTAGAGATTCGGTATGTTTTCTACTAAAGTAATCTCTAAAAATCGGATAACAACTGATTTTTGCTGACGTTTGTAGATATTAACTTGCTTCAGAGCTCACTGCTAAGAAAGCTGATTTTACCGCGGCGACACCATGGGTAGAGAGCAAAGCAGATCACAATGCTGCATCGGCAACTACTTTGCTGAGACTGGTAAAACAAACGAAAGAACTTGTTGTATCCAGATGCAAAAAAAATTGAATGTCCAAACAAACGAAAAGCAGAAACCGGTCTGTATTATTTATTCATACTATAATTTTTTGGGGTCAAAGTGCAACCGCGAATCACAATGAGAGGATACTAACTGGTTATCAGAAACTTTTATTCAAATATACATTTAATTTTTTTGATATATTTATACCGCCTTCAAAGACTGTATAAAAGATGCACATGTGAACTGAATCTGTGAACAAATTTAGAACAAGATACAATAATATAGTCAATAAATGAATTACTTTACACCAGGTCGTTGTTCGTCCAACTAAGTCTCATTGGTGACGCAATTGGCCCTAAATTTTGAAACATCGGAAGTTACTGAAAAAAATAAAATTGATCGAAATGATTGTCAAATTCTAGATGAAGAGGTCCGCTAATCCCATAAACTTATAAATTTTGACTATTTCATATATATCTGATAACTTCAAAAGAACGTCGAGTACATTTGTACTACTATTCGAACGAATTAAAACGTGACATGCAGGCTAGGGGAAACCTTGGGGACAAAAAGTCCACTAGCAGTGTCAATCACCTGAAATCTTTTGGATCAGACAAAAGACACTGTATTATAAATGCGGTAAACTGTTAATGTGTTAAAGTATCAGTACATAGTACTTTATCACTGAGATAAACGTGAGTGTACGCATACATTTGCACGTAATCAGATATGTACACATTGATTTATCTATATCAAATGTACCAGGGAGTGTTCACGGATTCTCTAAACATAGATTATTAGGGCATTAGGGAACTACAACCAATCGAATTGCGATATAACAAAATCATATTGATACTCCTTATGTAACACTAAAAGTAATGTATATCATTAAGAAAGACAAAAGAAATTGAAAGATATTTAACTTACGATGTGTCATATCAATTATGTTCGTTTTGTATACTCAAATTATAAGTCTTTCATTCTTTTCTTTTCTTTTCCTTTTTTTTTTTTTTTTACATTTTTTTATGTCTGTTACCTCAATCTATCTCTTGGTGTCATATAGATCAGAATACTAAAATAGCAAAATACGAAAAAAAAAACCACATGAGAACATTTGCAAATGTCTTGTATAGGTAATATACGTGAAGAGCGCTTGTTAAGTTCCCTCTCCTCAACAACCTCTGTCAATCACGCACGACATCATATCAACACTCATGATCAGTTCTACCATGTTGATTTCGTCATCGGTGACCTTTAATACTGGTCATTTGGTCAGCGACACGAGGAAGGCGTTATATTATAACATTAAAGAATGAATAACTAAACTGGCTGTTTCTTTTTAAAAAATGCGCTAATAATCATTTTAGCAAAAATACACATTCATCAAAAATACGAAAGATGGACATACTCGCATATCTTATTTTTGATGGACTACGCAAATACGTGTGGATAAGACCTTTTATCAGCGCATGATGTGAAGAATAAATTTTATCATCTTTTGTTATGTGGTAAATGTTGTTCTCAACTTTCAACAAACTTTAAGGTAATAAGGCATGCAATCGCTTTAGCATTAGAGAGGTGGTAAATCTACCATATGGTTTTAGAAAATAGCGATAAAACACCTTACATCATTACATACATACATATCTTACCTGTACGTTTTAACTGATCAAGACTTAACTTAGATATACAGTTTATATTTATAGAAAGTATCAATGACCTGATCCAATTATTCAATTTTACAATTGGTTTGAAAACAGCAACAACGTTATATATCAAAATTATCTTTAAGGCTAAATCGATATTTTTCAAAATGCCTCCAAAATCTAACAGTAGCTGATAAATGCCACAGACTGTTCTGTT